TACTCTTCTGATCTTTAATGGGACCATCAGCTAAGGAAAAATTCCATGTAGAAAACTGTGTCAGTCAGTTACATGTTTGCTTATGCTGTGTTCTGGGAATGTACAGACACTTGACCAGTGCCATGTGTCTGTGTGTCATATGCTATACCTCCATGAAGCAAAACAAGGCATTGCCATTTTCCGTAGCTCTATACCACTGGCGTGGTAAATGTGCTGTCGGTGCAGTGGAAAAAGCAAATCCCTGTGACATCTCTTGCGCTGGCCACAGACTTCTGAGGCTCGACAAACCCTGAAATACTTGATACCTTGGAGTTTCAGCTGAGGAGACCTAGGTGTCTAAATCTGGATATGTGGATGAAAAGCTGGACATGAGCCGGCAGTGTGCACTGGCAGCCCAGAAAGCCAACCGTATCCTGGGCTGTATCAGGAGAAGTGTGGCCAGCAGGTCGATGGAGGTGATTCTGCCCCTGTACTCTGCTGTCGTGAGACCCCACCTGGAGTGCTGCATCCAGCTGTGAAGCCCCCAACATCAGAAGGATATAGACTGGTTGGAGTGAGTCCAGAAGAGGCCACGAAGATGCTCCGAGGGCTGGAGCCCCTCTGCTATGGGGACAGGCTGGGAGAGTTGGGCTTGTTCAGCCTGGAGAAGAGAAGGCTCTGGGGAGACCTTCTAGCACCTTCCACTACCTGAAGGGGCTACAAGGAAGCTGGGGGGGACTTTTTACAAGGGCCTGTAGTGACAGGACAAGGGGTAACGGGTTTAAATTGAAAGCAGGGAAGTTTAGATTGGATATCAGGAAGAAGTGCTTCCTGGAGAGGGTGCTGAGGCACTGGCACAGGTTGCCCAGAGAAGCTGTGGATGCCCCATCCCTGGAAGTGTTCAAGGCCAGGCTGGATGAGGCTTTGAGCAACCTGGTCTAGTGGAAGGTGTCCCTGCCCATGGCAGGGGGGTTGGAACTGGATGGTCTTTAAGGTCCCTTCCAACCCAAACCATTCCATGATTCTGTGTAAAAACCTCACCTTAGAGTACAGATCTTAAGTTAGATCATAACATGTATTTATGAATTAATTCAGTGTTTATGCATGCCCTCACAAATATGTAATAGCAGTTTGCAGGTTTTCAGTGGTAAACATACCCCAATATCCATACAAACCTAGACTCTTACTCTCAAAATTAGCGGCTGTACTGTAATAATCCTTGAATTCTTAAAGATTGCCTTGAGCAATGGAACAATATTTTTGACTGCTTTTTGTGTGGCAACTGCTATCTCTTGCAGTGGCAAAGAGGACAGACATGTTGCATTCCTTGGGAGACTCCAATTCTTTATTGACTTTTGTTACAAATCTCTATTTTTTTCAGTGGGCGTAGTATCTATTCATAAATGAAGTAGATATATGTAACTGCAACATTTATTTACTCAGTTGTCATCACTACTGATAATTCTTACAGTATATACTGTTCTTTTATTTTTTAGGGTATCACATTTGAGGAGTTCAGGTCATTTTTCCAATTCTTGAACAACCTAGAAGACTTTACAATTGCAATGCAAATGTATAATTTTGCAAGTCGTTCCATAGGTCAAGGTAAGTATTTCTATTTTTATAAAAATCTGTTGGTAAAGATACAGAACTGTTGGCAAAAAATATAAAAATATTCTGTAATTCCTAGTTTGTAGTTTTAATGTCTCAGGGAGAAGGCTAAAAAGGCTAGGACCCCAGCTTTGAGAGGTGAAGGCTCGGTCATACCCTAAGAGGTATGGAGCTTTACAATGTCCTGTAAGTGGCGGATAAGCTGAATGCGGAATAGTTGGTCACCAAATCCTACAATACAAGAGTTAAGAGATGAGTTTAAAGCACACAGAAGCATTTATTTACACAGTGGGTGTCTGCAGTCTGGCCTTCTGCAAAGGTGGTAGAAGCGTCAGAAGAGGGATTAGACAGAATTTTGAACAAATCGGTAAGTGGGTGCTGAAAGAACTAGGCAGGTACGTAGTGTCCGAAGTCCTTCACGCAGCAGATGCTTGGGGCGTGTGAGGTGAAGGATACGTGAAGTGGTCAGACTTGTGTGCTCTCCTCAGGCAGCATCTTCATCGGTCTGACACGGTAATACCAGCACAGTCCCACCCCGTGTGGCCTTTCCAAAGGAGTATATACTGTTTTGTCTGTGCTCTATGGCTTAGGGTCTGTTCTGTGTCAAGTAAGTAGGTGCAGTCAGTATATATGTAGCATAGGTTTAATTATAAAATCATTTTCTAATTTAGTTCTTACACATAGTATAATTTTGTTACTACAAATAGTGTAGTATGGGGACTGTTATCTTTTGTGTAAAATAATTGATACCAATTAAGCAGCAACATTTTACACCAGTTGAGAACTACTTGGTTTATACTGTTAAATTCAATCCCCATTTTCACGTTTTCATATTTTTTCATTGTTTAAATGCGAAAACTTAATTTAAAATTTTACTTGTATTTTGTAATACGTTGCTCACAAAATAGGGTTAATGTGTTTTATTTTTTCTTCTGATGTTCTCTTTATGCAGATGAATTCAAACGTGCTGTGTATGTAGCCACAGGCGTGAAGCTTTCACCGCATTTGGTGAACACAGTGTTCAAGATTTTTGATGTTGACAGAGATGACCAGTTGAGTTATAAAGAGTTTATCGGCATTATGAAAGACAGACTCAATCGAGGGTTTAGGGTAAGGATTCCCATTTTTACAGTTCTATTAGTTGACTTCACCACTTATCGCTAGTTACTGTAGCACCAGTAGGTTGCAAACCGACAGTGCATATGTTTAAAGACATGTGTTTTACAGAAATCCTGAAGCAGTCTCTGAGAGAAATTCCTTCTTAAATTCTTGATTTTCTATTAGAAAGCAATACATAGCAGACATAATGTACCTTCATAGTACACAAACCAAAATAGAGATGAAAAATCCTCTGCATACTGTCATTCCTTCTGTATTGTATGACTGATAGATCAGCATTAAGAATTTTAACAAGGATAGCAATTATGTCTGGGTTGTTTGCAGGAAAAGAGATGTTTTTTTCTCTCAAATTCAGGCAGTTTAGTTACAGGTCAACCACTGGCTCTTCTAAAACATGATTTAAAACACCAAGTGTCAATAGTGACTGTTGGGAAGAGTTGCAGCCGAAGATAGTTTTAATTCTCAAATAAAGAATTAATGAGGTGGTGCTGAACAATGCTATATTTTAGTTCAAAGTTGCTTTTGATAATTTAACCCTGTATCTAATATATTAAATTACAAGAAGCTAGAGGGCAGGAAATTACTTGCAGAAAATCTTCATAGGGAACAAGCTTGTAAGTCACACCTTGCCTTTTAGGTGACTGTACGGGTCTTGCTGCCCTCTTCAGGTCCCGTGTAGTACAGGGAAACCTTATAGTAGCAGAAATATTTTTAATTAGACTGTGATCAATAAACATCACAGTTTTTTCTTCATATGACAGGTGTTAACATTTTTAACTAAAAGTAAAATGGTGTTCTTAACGACAACCTAATCCCTTAGACATAGATCTTAAGCTGCATTATGGTTCCAAAATTCACATTTCAGTATGTTACCTCTGTAATGTAATTTTAGTCATTTGTAGTCAGCTTCCTAAACATAATTTTAGACCTTTCTGTGAAGTGGTGTTGAGTCTGACAGTTTGCTTGTTATTTTTGTAATATTATGATCAGAGGTAAAATGTGGATAACAACCACTGCATTTGCTTGTTGGTCCTCAATTCCTTCTATTATGGTGTGGGAACAATGATTGTTTCATAACCGTTTCAAGATGTTCACCACTGTGTTCTAATTGTTTACTAAATGTAAGTGTGCAGTGTATGTGAATTTAACCCGAAAACAGTCTGCTTACAAAGTAATTCTTGTAAACGTATTACATGTTTCTATTTCACAAAATGCATGACAGAAATCACATATAATCCTTAAGAATCTATGTTGTCCAACACTCTTCAGCCTTATGCATGTAGCTTTCTTTTGCGTAAGCCACTATAAAATACTCCATTGGACTGTAAAAGAAGTGTAAAGGATAGCCAAGGATATTCAGAAGAATAACACCATCTTTCATAAATGATATGTCTAATTTTAATTAGATATGAGATACCTCCTGGATTGAATCAGAGATGGTCGTGATTTGGTCCTGTAAGTCAGTCATATTCAGCCTACATGCAGGCTTTTTAGACTATTCAGAAAACTGGCATTCTCTTCACTAATCAGTAGTATTCCAAGATAACTATGGTACCAAACTTAGGAATTACAGTTTGCAGTAAGTTTCTGTAAGTGTCACACAACCCTGATTTTTCCAAGAGTGGGTAATAGTAAAAACTCTGCAAAAATTTACCTTTTCCGTTTCATAAACAACCCCCCAACCACCCCAGTCTTGGTTTAGAACGAAAAGAAGAAGACACGCAAGAACCTTTTGCCCAGAGGACATGGGACGAAAGTGGCATTAGTAGCTTCCTGCTGCGTGTACATTAAAAGATTTTAGTGTGGCTAGAACAAGTACAAGTTTACCCTCTTGCTCATGTGGAGGGCTCAAATGTTGTCTTGTGCTAAATCAAAACTAACAAATCACTCACTTTTTCTTCGTTAAGAACTGTGTTTCAAATCCATATTAAGATTTGGTCAGTTCCATTGTATGGATAAAAGAACATTAAAGCTTCTGCTTATGCTGGTTTTTGTAGCAATATGGACATTTTGGCTGTGAGAAATTTGAACTTTTTTATACAGTTTATGATGTTGTGTCCTACAATTAATGTCTGCCCAAATCAATGTAGCCTCTGCTCATCACTCTACAAACATCTAAAAATAACAGATTGAAATAGGCCTATGATTTGAAGCACGATTTTACTGTCAACATCTCACACTTAGTAATTCAACCTTTTTAAAAGTCGTTTTACTAAAATGTTTGCCCAGAAGAATCTTGAGGGCATCACAGAGCTTGGTACGAGGACCATGTATGTTAGAAAAGGGCATTTTTTACTTATATAGTGACTAAAGCAAAGAGTTACACAAGTCCAATGAAACTGGAGTTTTGAAAGGTCCATCAGTACCTACCAGCTTTGTCCTGTTTTAAAAGCTTAGCTATAAATTTACAAACTTGAGGAAGGTCAGGTGCTTCCTCTTATAGGAACATACTAAATATTCATTTTAACATGTATTTTAGATATGTTTTTGGAAAAGTAAATGTCTTAAAGAGTTTATCAAGAGAAATTTCTTTCTTTCTGGAGTATAGTATTATAACGGGAAACCTGGTTTTGGTTTTAGTAGTTTGAAACCAACTATGGTATGTTAAGCTGCCATCAAGTGGTCAATCAGAGTATTGCCCTGAATTTATCAAAAGGCACACAGGCACGAGGAGCTTTCCTTTTGCTTGCTGTTTGGCTTAAAATAGTTATTTCCTTTTTTTTTTAATTTAAAAATATATAAGAAGATTCCGTTTCCCTCATAAATTCCATTTCTAAACTGACATATTTGGAGCTTAATGAGTAAGCGATAAACATTTTACCTAGCACATGCTATACTGTATCTTCTAGCTATTCGTCACTTAAAGCCATTTTTTTGTATTTTCATGATGCCGTTGTCTTATGCTTACCTCTGGCTGCTCACATGTTGTCTGCATCTGTGCACTTCTCCATCTTCTGCTCCACAGGGCTACAAACCTATACAGAGGTATACCACTTTCAAATCCTGCGTGAGGAAGGAGCTCTATAGCAGATGAACGACGGTATGTGTGAGCCGCCCAGTCCGAGTGTGCTGGCATGCTTGCAGGCGTGGCTGGATGTTAAACTGTCGCTGCTTTGTTGCCTGTTCCGAAATTCAGGAATAGGTGACCTGGCTGTAAGCAATGTGCTAGCTCAAAGCATCCTGTTGTATTTTTGACTGAAGCAATAGCATCTTACTGTGGAGTTGGCAATGACTGACTCACACTGTCACTTGTTTGTAAGCCAGCTGCGATTTTGTACTGTGTTTGAAACTAGGACAAGTATTCTTTCATAGTTGCTGTTGCTGTTTTCTGTCTGTCCTGTGACCACTTTTCAAATAATGTCTCGGATACCTATAGCTAAAAAGTATTTACTAATGAAGACTGTGGAGGCAGGATTTTCTTCCCGAGAGACTGTTAGTAACTTGATTCTACTTTGATTTAAACAGTTACAATTTTGAAAGCAATAATGTGGTTTGGGCTGGATTAATACTGTACCAGTGTTTTTCAAAAACCGGCACTGTGCCGACACACAACCATCATAGCTGTTCCTGGGTATCCACTACATAAATACTCGTTACAGTATGCAGTTACACGAAAACCCACAGTATAATGGAAAAACTGGGGTGTGAATATTCTGTAGCCAGCTGTATCCTGGGCTGCATCAGGAGAAGTGTGGCCAGCAGGTCAGCAGGAGGGGAGTCTCCCCCTCTGCTCTGCTCTCGTGAGACCCCACCTGGAGTCCTGCGTTCAGCTGTGGAGCCCCCAGCATCAGAAGCACATAGACTGGTTGGAACGAGTCCAGAGGAGGCCACGGAGATGCTCTGAGGGCTGGAGCCCCTCTGCTATGGGGACAGGCTGGGAGAGTTGGACTTGTTCAGCCTGGAGAAGAGAAGGCTCCAGGGAGACCTTATAGCCCCTTCCAGTGCCTGAAGGGGCTACAAGGAAGCTGGGGGGGACTTTTTACAAGGGCCTGTAGTGACAGGACAAGGGGTAACGGGTTTAAATTGAAAGCAGGGAAGTTTAGATTGGATATCAGGAAGAAGTTCTTCCTGGAGAGGGTGGGGAGGCACTGGAACAGGTTACCCGCCCAGAGAAGCTGTGGATCCCTGGAAGTGTTCAAGGCCAGGCTGGATGAGGCTTTGAGCAACCTGGTCTAGTGGAAGGTGTCCCTGCCCATGGCAGGGGGGTTGGAACTGGATGGTGTTTAAGGTCCCTTCTAACCCAAACCATTCTGTGATAGCAAAACTGTCACATGGCGGGCGCAGCAGAAATGTGTTAGTAGACGTTTCTCACATATAGTTGGAGTTTGCTCCTTTGCAATTTAAGGTTTTGGTGCCAGCCCTTTTTTCATGACTATATTAACACTTTGCAGTAGTTGCTTTGAAGGCTGTTAGCAGCTAATGTATGTCCCAGATGTGTTATTTTGCAGTGGGGAGGAACACAGAGATGCACACCATGACAAACAAGGCCCCACAGCCAGTGGTGTGGTGTGAGTGGACCCTGTGGAGTAGCCAGCACATCTCATGCTCCTGAGCCAGGAGGGTTTGACTGTCATTCCTCCTCTGTTTTTAATTCTGAGAGACAATATTAAGCTGAGATTTCTTGTTGAATAACCATCTTTGTGGTTATTCTACAGATGCCTCCGTATGTCAGCATATTGGCATCTGACCTTCAGAATCCTCCCCTTACCTCTCCTGCCTCTCAGAGCACTTGGATGCCAGTGAGCGTGTTGGGCCACTGGTTTAAATCTTTCTTCCCTAACTGAAACAGCAAGGCAGGAATGTAGGTACACTAAGCAGAAGTTTCTTGGATCCGGTTTATTTGAGGTGATGGTTGGCTTCTAACACTGCCAAAAGTGTAAGTCTGTAAGGATGAGAGGTGGGCTCTGTCTACTCAGGCTGGTAGGAGCCAGCTCACCGGTCCCACTGGTGTTTTTCTTCTGTAAATCCCTGTGCAAGATGGGTAAAGTAGAGGGAATATACTGAGGCAGTTGACATATTCCTGGGGTACAGCATGTCAGGTATCCCAGATTGTGTTCTTTGGGATTCTTCATACCATTTTTTTTTCAGTGAAGTGTCACATCTTTTGAACGGGCTGGTTCTTCCAAATTCAGCAGTGAAGAGAGTTTGGGGCACGTCCGGTCTTATGCAGCTGATTTGTCCTCCTAGAAAGAAGACAAGAGTTCTGTTTGATTTGCATATGCTCTAGTCTTCTAAAATTCAGCATCCATAGGATTATTTCTTTATTATTTTGATTAACTATTAACATTTTTTAAATTATTCTTCCTCTTTATAAGTATGACCCACACACTGAAGCATTGTACTAATATGTGATGAACAGAGAAAGAAACTTGATTTTAACAGAACATCTGGTTTTTCCATCTAATTAATGGGAAGGTTAAATGGCTAATTACATAGTTAAAACTACATTTCAGTAATCCAACTCACCAGTCACATCATGGCTTTGTATTAATTTTATGTAATTTCAGCTCTTGAAACTTGAGGATCTTCCTTTCTCCCTTTCCTATGCCTTTTTAAAAATCAGTCTTTTAGGAGTGGTTTGTCTTTTTGTCCACACTAATTCTGCCACAGCCTACATTGTAATTGCATGTTAAGTACTGGTCAAACTGTAAAATTTTCAAGATAAGAATCAGTTTTCCACAAGAAAACTGGCAAAATGTTACACAGTCACAAAGCTTTCATACTAATTTTGGTGAAGGGTATGTGACCAACTGGAACAAAATGCAGTATGACACAGGAGAATCTAGTGTCTAATACTCAAGGCAAATAAGGTGAGCGTGGCGTGACAAAGGGAGAAATTGTGGTAAAAGCATCAGGCATATACCTGGACGCCTTAACAGAGAGCTGAACTCAGGCAATAAAATCATTCATTAATCTGTCGAGATGGAGTAAACGGGGGAAAAAAAATACAGTGCAGATATATAAAGGGAGATTTTTCTTCACTCTGTATAAAGTCATTCTCAGGAAGATAAATTGAAGTTGAATAATGATGTCTCCACTGTGCACTGGGAGAGAGTACAGAGAAACCAGGTTAGTTCTCCACGCACTGACCTGGCTACAGGCAACCTCACTGACTTGCTGTGGAGATTGCTGGGTATCTACCCTGCTTTCCTTCCCACCCGGGGCTCCTGGATGCTGTAAGAAGGCGGCTTCTGGTACCTGAGCTTGGTTTTGCAGGACTGGATCGAATACCTGTTATCTATGCACTGACAAATACAGCGTAAACCTCTCTAGATATAAAATTCCCTCTTCCCTGCAGAGGCCTTAGTCAGCTACTGCTCTTCACTTGAGCAACAGCTCCTTGTCTCTCGTGATGAAACACAGTGACACATCCACTTGTTAGCTATTCCGAGCTACTCCTTGTGCAAAACATAGCATGTAGCATTTCTTCAGAATTCCTGTAGACATTTATTAAAGTTTGTAGCAAGAGTCAGTTAATGGAAATGGAAACTTCATCCAGAACATCTGTGAAGTGATCTGGCGTTAGTTACTGTGGAGGAGACCGGAACTCATTCTGTCTTTGCCATACAGCATGGAGTGGAAATTTACATAATGCTAAAAATAATTATATTCTATTTAGTTTACAGATCAAAAAGATAATAAAGATGGCATCACTGAACAATTTCAACTGGCTGATTAAATTTCAGTCTGAGGTACGAAGAAACACACAAGTATGTGAAGTATAAAAACCTGCTGCAATTACATCCCAAATTTAGGTGCAATACAGTAACTCTTAAGTGTGTTTTATTCCAAATATAAATGTACAGATCATTGTCTGTGCTTTGATAAACTTTGTCTAGCAAACCTAGAACTCTGATGAAAGAGATCAAGATACTTGGCGTACCTACCACAGATTGTACCATACGTTGAATCTGCACCCTGAAAAGGGATAAACAGCACGTTGTGCTGTACATTACCTGTGTCTAAACTGCACTCATGCAATTGACTCCACAGCGTAAAGAATGTTGTGTTCCCTTACAATAAATAATGAAAACCTCTCCTTGGGGAACAACTCTACAAGCTCTGTGTGCTCCAAGCAGCTGGCACTGTTCGTGGCGAGCCGTCTTTCTGCACTGTTCTCCCCGCAGGGCACACCGCCGACTCCGCGGTACTCCTTTGTGTATGCCGCAGGGAGAGCGCGACACACACGTTAGTAGGGAGCTCCAAGCGCAGCTGAGAGGAGAGCTCTACTTCCAGTGCCTTATGGAAGGGTTATCTTGGAAATTCCTAGCAAAACCCTTTCAGAGTTGATTTCCAAAGGAGGATGCTAGAGGCCAGCTTTGAGAGGAGTTCAAGTCCATCAGAAAGTGCTGTTCATGAAGCTGTTTGTGTGCTGTAATTGATAGTTAATTTATATAATTTCAATTTTCTTCCACTTCTGAAGTATTGAAAATAAATACTATACGTCACAATTGTAAATACAGAAAATGAGTTGTATGTCCCAGTAATTTCTTGAAAATCTTAACAATTTTTGCATTTAAGATGTTTTGAATTTTGCAGATTAACATCTTTTTTGAAGATGTTTTGCATTTTCTAGATGTTCTGAATTTTGTGGGGCTTCTAAACTTCTGATTAAAGTTTTTAGGAATTAATAGTTAATATCAACAGAGTCTTGGGACTGTTCAGGGAAGGAAATGTCATTTTGTCAAAGACATGAAAGACCCAAGCATGGATTCAGAACCTCATGGCTAGTCCTGGTTCAGCAATATATTGCTGTCTTGAAGAGAGTGTTGCTTTCCTCTTCTCCAAAGGAAATAAAGTGGGAAGTGTGTGATACCTGAGTCATCTTACAAAAGTAACTGGAAATTGCAGAGCCCAGGCTTGTGATCTTAAAAGTGACTAGAACCTTAAAAACCCAGCTGGGTACAGTGGGAGGAAAATGTTCCAATGAAATAGGAAGGCAGTGCAGAGTATGCGGACAAGATGTTCTGTCTATGGATCTGGTTCACTGAGAGTAGATCCAACAACGATGCCAACACTGGGAATAAGTAGGTGAACAGTTAATGTACTTCAGTGCTTCTTGTACTGATTTTCATGAACATTTCTCTGAACCTCTTTCATAAAATAAAAAATAAATGCATATCTCAAAGTGCTGGTTCATCAGAGAAGCTGTGGGTGCCCCATCCCTGGAAGTGTTCAAGGCCAGGCTGGATGAGGCTTTGAGCAACCTGGTCTAGTGGAAGGTGTCCCTGCCCATGGCAGGGGGGTTGGAACTGGATGGTCTTTAAGGTCCCTTCCAACCCAAACCATTCTGTGATTCTATGATTCTATCAAGTGGATGTGCTTCTCTTAAATAACAAAATGCATTTTGCGAGTAGTGCACTTTTTTTCATAAGATGGAACATAAATCTCAACTAAATTATGCATTCATGTAAGTATTGTTTCTCAGATCTCGTTTATAAAGTCTGGATCATACACTGCTGTGGATTAGATTGTTTTCTGAACATTTCCAACGTCTGCATAATGTTTTATACTTTTTAGTTACACCAGATGAGTAATAACAATAAATGAAATGTAGGCTTCGCTCTGTAATGGTTGGGTTTGATACATGGTAGTGTTGCAGTGGTTTTGCCTCCATCACTCCGTTCAACCAGAACAAGCTGTCAGACCGTCTCTCACCTTGACGCTGTAACCGTTTACCTCCAGACACTGAGCTTGATTTCGAAGATGTATTATAATTTAAAATTACTTGTGAATGCATCTGATTTATCTACAATTACAATTCCTGTCCCTTACTTACTCTCTTTCCCCAGTTGGTGTAATATTTAGCCCCTCTCCGTCTTTCTCTACTTACTATCAAAGTAGGCTTGTGAAGTTAGGAATAGCGGAAGAAATGATGAGACCCGGTGATAACCACAGACAACACAGGGTCTAGGGAGTCCCCCCAGGCCAGCCGTTAGCCAACACTCCTCTCCATTCAGAGATGTCAGTGAACCGCAATGCACTTTAGGACTGAGGTAACCTAGTCTGAAGAAGCCGTTACATCACCTGCCCTTGCTGTATTTGGCTTTTGCCAAGACCTCAGTTTGGTGAACGTCAATAATCTTTCTATGCTTTTTATTTGGTGTTAGAGGTGAATGTTTTAGTACAGTGTCGACATGAAGAAGCAAGAGACAGAACTAGAGAGCGGGACATACCTGAATAAAGAGGAAATCCTTTCTTACAGCTTGTACTGTACATAGGCTACTCGTTGAATGCTAACTGTGTGCTGTGAGGTGAGGATGCATTCTGAACACTTAACCAGTGTATGGATTTATAACCCTTGTGTTACAGAAGTGCTTCTGGAAGTACTCGGTCTTTCATGATTTTAATATTAAAACGTACATCTAATTTGTATGAGTGTGAGTCACATGTAATTTAAAACTAAGGAATTTAGTGAACGCTACCTTTTTCCAATGGTATGGTTTTCACTTTTCACAGGAGACTCCAAAGTACGGTTGGAAGGAATATTACTCTTGTGTGATGACTGTCACCAGTGAACATCTGAGAGATCTATGGAAGCAATTTCGGAGACGAGATATGCTGAGATAAAGGAAGAAAGAAGGATTATCTGCAATGGCTAGAATATTTATTCCTATGAATTTTTAATGAAAAGCAAACTAACCCAGGTGGATCATGAATTTTCCAGCTGCAGTTGAAAACACAGGACTTCTTTTCCACTTAATGTAGTGATCGGCAACTCTTACAACCATTTTTAAGTATGCATTTTATTTAGATGACAAATTATCACCTGATTGGCAGAAGTATTTTTTTTAAGAATCTGTTTGAATATTATTTTCTACTATTTTGAGATATGTTTGTCATTTAAAAGAAAACAAAAATGAGTTTTACACCTGGGTAGGCCAACGGTTTGGCAGTGAAAAGAAACTGCCTCGCATCAGCTCAGACTGTGAATTTGCTTTGAGAAGAGCACCGTTAAAAACTTGTGCTGAATTGGGAATGAGAAGACACTAAGCAGCGTAACAATTGTATACGAGTTGAATGTACAGATTAAATTCTTAGAAGCTAACAAAGCTGTTACTTTAAAAAGAGTAAAGCTGTGATGGTTATAATGTGAACGATAGGTGTTTACCTAGGAATGGTACTGTATGGACTACAATGATCAGATTCTCCAAGTCTTACTAATTAATGTTTATTAATTTATCTCTTAAAAAAATAGTACAGATTTTGAGATGTCTTATGAGCAGTATGTTGAAGAAGAGTCAAAATGTTCAAATCCACATTAAGTAGCACACGCTTTGTAATATTTATTATAAATTTTATGGCCATACATATAAATTCACTGGAATATTTCTGGTAGAGTAAAACTTCATGTGTTTCTTGTGAATAGTGCACTTTTATATGATGTAAGATGTGGCACTGAGTAGAAATTATAGTTTAATTTGCTCCTCTGGAATGCAGTATCTGAAAATTAGATAAATAACTTGTGTTCGTGTCAAACAAAAAAGCAAACTGCAACATGAATGCATGCAGCAGCACAGAGCAACACGCAGTAAGTAATATTATTTGAATGACATGTCAAATATTAGACATAAATTAGGCTTTACAGTGGTTACGCAGACTACAGGCAGTCGGTAGCCACCACCATGAGCTTTCGTGCACGGTAGGTTTAGATGTTACTGAAACGGTGGTAAGGACACTCTTCCAGTTGGTTTTCATATGCTCTGAATTTTTTCTTTCCTATTCAGGAGCAGCGTTTTTCCTTGCTCCCTTTCAGATGGGTGTTAGGTAGTGTGAACTAAACACAACCACATATTTCTTATATCCTTCTTGGACAGGTTCACTGGGCATTAAATAAGTCTGTAGCTATTTAGGAACAATCTGTGCCTTGAATATTTCTGGCTGATTGCTAAAACTAATGTCAATAAATTGTTATCGTAAAGGCAAATATTTGGCAGGGCCTGACTATTAAAATAGAACCAAAATAATGGTTTTTAATCTTTCATTACTCCAAATACCTGTAAGCAAACTTTTCAAACTTGTATTTATTGCACGTGTTGCTCAAATACCACATTACATCACAGATGAAAAGATGTATCTTTGTAAGTACACCTACGTTTAGAAATGTTTAATTTATAATAAGATCTATCTCTGCTAAAAATCAAAAGTGAAAGGAAGCTGGTTTTTAAGAAATTCCACTCTGGGAATCTTAGGAAAAAAAAATGTGCTACTTGAGGCTTTTATCTGAGAAAAAGCCAGTTCAGAAAGCTTTTGAAGGATGCTATTTTAGTTAATGTTTGATGATAAATACTTAACAAATTTCTACCTGGGCATCCTTAAACTACTGACAACAAGAAAAATCCAATAAATGGAGATAAAGACACGTGAGAACATGGATAAGCTGCAATTCCTGTATGATCATTTAGGGAATTAATTGTATTCAGTGTATCATCCTGGTACGCAGAACTGTCTCACTGCTTCTTGTCAGCATATGCAAACCCCAATTTGCTACTTCAGTGGTGAAGGACAAAAAAGGGAAGAAAGGACAGGGAGTTATTGAAGGGGTTCCCCTCCTTCCTCTTCAGTCACTACTGCCCATGCACAGTGATCCTCCCCTTGGAGGAAGCAGCAGCACCATCATCATTTTGCTCCTCTGCTGCCCTAGGCAACAGTGCACTTTGCTTTGATGGCTGGCTTGAGACAATTTTATCATTTTTCTGTATATTTCCTAACTATAGTCACTTAATATAAAATAGAATGTGAAAGTGTCAGATTAGTTTTTAAGAGTATTTTTTTCTCATGTTTAATATAAGTTATTTAATATAAATATATGCATATAATATTATTGTTTATTTCGAAATAAATGCACTTGAAACTAATTTTCTTTGCAGCGTATATCATTCAGATTCTTTTGTAATTAAAAACTCTTTTTTAATAACATGACTGTACAAGCACTTTGAATTACAGCATCTCACAGTCACAAAAAATAGACTTTCTTACTTCTTTTGGTAATTTCTTTAGATAGCTTCAGTTTTCTGCCACAGAGTTCTGTATAAAAGAGCTGGAAGTGCAAGGGCAGACAGGTGAAGACAAAGCAGGGTAATGGGACATGCCATCTGCTGTTGAGGCACCCCTCGGATAGGCAGCAGTCGCTGTGCTCAAGAAAACCTTGTTCAAAACCTGCCAGGTTCCTGGCAGCGGGCAGAATTTGTATGCTGCGACTCAGTTGTGTTAAAAGTTGCCTAAATGAAGTCTTTTTGCAAAATCATAGATTCACAAAATCATGGAATGGTTTGGGTTGGAAGGGACCTTAAAGCCCATCCAGTTCCAACCCCCCTGCCATGGGCAGGGACACCTTCCACTAGACCAGGTTGCTCAAAGCCTCATCCAGCCTGGCCTTGAACACTTCCAGGGATGGGGCATCCACAGCTTCTCTGGGCAACCTGTGCCAGCGCCTTACCACCCTCTCCAAGATGAACTTCTTCCTGATATCCAATCTAAATCTACCTGCTTTCACTTTGAAAACCAGCTCTTGTTCTCTTCTGTAAGTTAAGAAACCTGTAATAGTAAGGAATATAAGTAATAAGTCGAGAAACCTGTAATAATAAGTCAGAAGATATTCAGTGGATGCTTAGGAACTGCCCATGATGCCCAGACCAGCTATAAATGGTGATAAAATGGTTAACTATTGAACCTGTGGCTTTGGGTAGCTTTGTGATATGAACTAACTTTTGTCTGAGCTCTGATGAATTCCTAGTTCCCAGCAGAATACCCTGTACACCAAGCTGCTCCCTGCTAATCTCCTGACATTTAAGATCACACTGGCAGTTTCACTCCTTGCCTGTTTGGCAGTAAGTTGATATAAATTACTTCTACTGCAGATCCTTGTGTGTATGACATGGAATGTTACCAGCCTGAAGAAAGAGACACTGTTAAACAGTGATTTGCACCTTATTGTTGGTCATACTGCCTGGTTTCTGTAGTTACTTGACCTCTTCGTTTCCACCTAAATACCAGGATAAGGAGGCACTAAGATAATATGGGGAAGAAATGACAGAAGAATTTTTCACGTTTGACATGCATAATATTCCTTATGCATTTGACATTGCATAATATTCTTTAGGTAATGATGCCTGGCTCCCTTGTCCCACTGAGGACACTTCCAAGACAGTTTGTAGCAAAAGAACTTCATACTAATACTGGCAGAAGGAAAAGAATCAGACCAAAAGCTCACTATGCAAAAACTAATCTGGAACAGAACTGATTTGTAGCAATACCAAATCTGAACTCCCCTTAAAATGGAGCCAAACTAATATGACTATTTTCTAATATATGGGAGGTCTGAATGTACAGTATTTTTCCCTGTATCTGAAAAATCCATGATAGCATTTGGCACCCTGAACCTGTCAGCAGATGGTGCCCTTGGGTATATGATGTTCATTTTCTTGGGTATAGGATGTTCTTTTTCTTATATGCACAATTAAAGACACAGGGTTGTGCTTTAATCTTGAATGGGTAGTGCTAATTTTTACCATTAGTTTGACTTACAAATTCCTCCCACAGAGGAACATTATTATTAGCTAGGAGCATTCCATAAAAATATTAGTACCTGCTTGAAAATTTTAATATAAAGTACCTAATTTTATATATATAAACATTCCTAGAAACAGCCACCTATTAAATGTATTTAAGTTTTAGTAATATGTTTCTGCTTATTCAGTGTAAACAAATGAACTATTACTCCTGTTTGGTTTTTTTTTAATTTGCAGAGCTGAGTTACCTATTTATTTGTCCACCTTAATTTAAATTAAAAAATTAGTATCATTGCACAGGAACTTTTTCAGTTCCTGTTTCATAGCTATCTGCTACAATAGCTCTTCATTTACAGTTTTCTTCTGACAACAAACTTAGCATCCTCCTTTTTAAGCAGCCATACCCATAAGCCATGATTTTTTAATAAGTGTTTCTACTCTGAAGTGGTTTTAGATGATTTGCCTGAGGTTGTAAGTTCTGGTGTGAAATAAGGAACTCTCTATCACTCTAACCCTGATTACAAAGGTACAGCCTCGATTCAGAAGAGTGCAAGAATAAACTTCCAAGCATCCAAACCCCTGCAGTGAAATCCTGAGGCTGAAGACGGTCACCCAGGCTCTCGTAACAGGCCCGCGCACGAGATCGGTTTTAAATCAGCCAACTGGTTAACCAGGCAGTACGGGGACGTGGCAAGATGTTGCTCCTGGGAGCTGTGCATTCCCATGCGTGTTCTTTCTTGCTGGTGGCACATGTGTGACAGGGCGGTGAGATGGCTCAGTTAGGAATTAACACCAAAAACACCACACACGTCTGTGTATATGTGATTCAACTGAAACAGCTCCCAGCTACACGCGTGCTGGAGGCACCACAGGGGAGGGAGTGGAAACGCGTTGCCTGAGGCCGAGATGCAGAGCAGGGTAATGGCAATCTGGATTCTGAAAGCCTTGAGCTGCTGTGGTAGTCACTATCAAATCATGCTTCTTGCCAGAGATAGCATAGCTTGTGAAGAGGGTAATGTGCCATTGCACTTGGAAACCACATGACAGAACCGGGTAGGAGGAGCAGGGACTGGAATCCACAAGTCCCTGTTTTGGGCAGATGCCCTGGGAGGCTGACGAAGCATTTACTTTCTCTGGTCCTGTGAATCGTGCATCCTTTTCTAGATCATTTCATAATGACATTGGAAAA